TCTATGTGGTAACGTCTTTCTTGCAATACACCTCCCACAAATCCTTAAATACAGTTCAACTTCCTGGTTCATTTTGGGCATCTCTTAGAAGTTCAACTGTCCGTTCAACCCCTAGGTGCCCAGCATCAGCATGCAAGGACTTCATTACTTGAAGATGGCACTTCTAAATGACATCTTTCTTTTCCATTCTGATCTCTGGTTACTCTATAGAGAAGATTGTCTCTGACAGTTCATTTCTGGATTTGTCGTTGTAGAAGCACCATAGCTGGATTTGAACTCTTGGGCATGGTAATGACTTTGTTCAAAGCTACCTCTTTTTTTACAGGAGCAATGATAGGGTCTTGATCTTGCGCTGACCTTAGATCTGCTTTTGTCCACCACTCCATCTGACTAGTTTCCAGTTGCGCCAGACAAGCATACATTGGTGGAATACCTTGTGGCGAGACACAGAGTTGGTCTATTAACCTCGAAGGAGACTCATCATCTTGAGACAAGCTGGTTAGATGACATACAGCCTTCACTGCCGAATCCGGTATCTCTGCCCATTCATCATCCCTGTTGTTAGGGTATCGAGATAGTACATCCGCATCCACATTTTGTTTTCCGGGCTTATATTGTACACTGAAATCGTAGGTGGCTAATGCGGCTAGCCATCGGTGCCCCGTAACATTCAGTTTGGCACTCTTCAAGATGTAAGTAAGTGGGTTATTATCAGTTCTCACAACGAACTTGACACCGTACAGGTAGTCGTGGAACTTATCAACTATTGTCCACTTGAGAGCCAGAAACTCAAGTTGGTGTGTCGGATAACGCTGTTCGGTAGCACTTAACTTTCGGCTTGCATAAGCCACTGGACGTAGCCCCTCCGGGTGTTCTTGATTCAGGACTACACCTAAACCATTAAGACTGGCATCAACGTGAAGCACATATGGCTTAGAGGAATCCGCAAAAGCCAAGACTGGAGCATTAGTAAGGGACAATGCTCTTGAAGGCCTCTGAACATGATGGACTCCAGTGCTCTCCAAAGGGCTCAGTTTCCTTAAAGTATTTCCCTGTTGAGGTGGTATCTTTTCTCCCTTTCACTGGTGGGTAACCCTTGGTGAGGTCTGTCAGTGGTTTCACAATTGCTGAATAATTCTCAATAAAGAAAAAAACCTAAAAAAAAAATCCTAAAAATGACCGTAAAGACTTTAGGTCAGACGGCATCTTCCAGCGAGTGATGGCCTCCACCTTTTCTGGGTCAGGGGCTACCCCAGCAGCAGAAACAATATGTCCCACATACTTGACTTTCTCTTGACAGAACTGGCATTTATCTATGGACACTTTTAGTCCAAACTCCTCAAGACGGTCAAGCATTTTGAAGAGTCTTTCTTCATGCTCCTCCAAGGTACGGCCAAACACAATCAAATCATCCAGATAAACAATAACTTGCAGTAAATGCATGTCTCCTACTGCCTTCTCCATAAGTCGCTGGAACGTTGCAGGAGCTCCAGTGACTCCTTGGTAGAATCCCAAAACTGGTAGAATCCCAGTGGGCATATGAATGCAGTCTTGTCTTTGCTCTCCTCTGCCATCTCAACCTGATAGTATCCACTTCGTAAGTCTAATACCGAAAACCATTTACTACCAGACAAGCAGTCCAAAGCATCGTCTATTCTCGGGGTAGTGTACTGGTCAGGAACAGTCCGACTATTGAGTGTTCGATAGTCAATGCACATCTGCACACTCCCATTTTTCTTTCTAGCAATCACAATGGGTGATGCATAGGGACTCCGAGACTCTTTTATTATGCCAGCTGCCAGTAAGTCTTTTATGTGTCGACGAACATCGTCAACGTCGGCAGGAGCTATGCGACGGGATCTCTCTCGGAATGGTCTAGGGTCATGCAGTTGAATGTGATGTTTCACACCCTTTGCCCATCCAACATCCCACTCCTTTAGAGAGAACACATTGATCTTTTCAGACAACTTCTGTCGTAATCTTCTTTCCCATTCAGGAGGAATGGCAGATGTACCAAAGTTAAACAAGTTTGGATCGATTTTCTGTGACATAACTCTCTCTCTGCGAGTCTCTGTGACAGTATCAGTCGGGAACATGTGAGCAATGACAGTGCCCGGAGGTACAGCAACCTCTTTAAAGGTTGCATTATGCACAGGCAACTGAAGAGTATCCATGTTTATAGCTGAGGAAGGCAGCAACACAGGAGGAATGAATAACCCCCCAGGTAACTGATCACAGTGGTTTCAACTACAAAGATATCCTTCTTCAAAGGTTCCTCATACTCCATCGTACAGTCCACATATACCTCACCTCTTGGAGGAACAATAAGAACATGGGGCCCGTCCCATTTAACCCTTGCCTCTGGAATGTCGGTTGTTCTCTCTGGAGTGGAAGTTAAGCATGCATCAGGGTAATTGCACGGGATCCTGAAGGAACACAATACTTGAGGAGTGTGTGGATATCCACTTAAGGCAGTTAACCTGCTGAAAAAACTAGCATTTGTCCCGATTATCACAGGGACTTGCTGAAACCCCTGTGGCTCAGGGCATACCAAAGCTAAAATGGAGATAGTCTCTTCCACCCCAGTGAAAGCTGCAGGAAAGGAGGCATCGATCACAATGTATCCCTTATATGGGTAGCTTGAGGAGCTCAGTCCCCAAATAGAGAGCCCATGAAGAGGCTGAAGGGGCACTTCAGACAGGTATTTTGAATACCATGAGTCAAAAACAATTGTTACTTGAGACCCGCTGTCTAGCAGTGCTTTGCACGGATGCCCGTTGATCTTCACTGAGAGTAGAGGAGGGACCCACCAGTCCCTTTGGAAGACTGTTCGTTTCTGAGACATCAACCTGACTTTTTGCAGAATGACAATCATGAGTCCCAGCCTTAGGACTGTCTCTGGATGCATCATTCCTTCCACTCTTAGCCTTCCTTAACGACCGAACCAGTTTCTGAATAACCAAAGGAAGGTTTTCCGTAGCTGTATATTTTGTGGCGATGTGGCCCTCCTCTCCACAGCGGTAACAGAAGTAACCTTCCCGATCAATGGCGGATCTGGCCCTTGACGGAGCAGAGACAGGTTTGGGTCGCTGTTGGTGCTGATCTACTGTCATACCATAGCTTACGTTCATTACTCCTATCTGCTGCTGCAACTGTTGTATTTGTTGTTTTAGGGCCTCAGTTTCTGTGTCTCGCTGGGTCTCAACACTTTGCTTTAAGGACTTTGAATTTGATGCTGGCGTCCGGTAAGCAGGAGAAATCTTTACAGATTCATCACCTAGTTTGATTTTTAAATCCTGGATTTCTGCTCTTAGCTCACTCACAACTGCAAAGCTGAGCTTTTGTTCCTGACACTGTACTGACTTTACAGTAGTTTTGATTTTCTATCTGGCTACTTCACTCTCTTCTGCTTTTCGAATCTCATTTATCAAAGCTAAGAAGGTAGGTGGCTCTGATTTTCTGTCTCGTAGCCTTAACTGTAAAAGCATCATGTCTGACTCAACTGCTCTAATCAATTGCTCTACTCTCACTCTATCCACCATTTGTGGAGACAATCCACCTCTTTGGACTACCTTATTTAATGATTTCTCCACTCTACGAAGGAAATCGGACAGTGCTTCGCCTGGGCACTGGCGAAGAAGACGGAAAGCAAAATACAAATCTTCGCCTGATTCCGAGGTTCCGAATGTACTTTCTAAAGCTTCTATGTACTGTAGAGCATCAGCATCAGGACCAGAAAATCTTACCGCTTTTATAATATCAAGAGCAGACCCTTTTAAGCTCTCCACAATTCTTCTTCTCTTCTCTTTCTCAGAGCACTCGCACTCTGCAATCATCATACGAGCTTGGTCCATCCAGTTTTCCATAGTTTCTTCTCCTAGGGGAGTAGGAACAGAACCAGAAAAAATACATAATCTTCTATATGCACTACTGTCAGGGGTTTGTCTGCCCGTTTTGTCTAACAGGTCTCCCACCGCTTGAATTATTGACTCTGGAGAACCAGCACTGTGACTAGAAGGAGAAACCAGGCCATGCAAATCCTGCATGGACTTCCCTTCATTTGCAAGAAACATTGCTAGTTTCTCTGAAAACCCTGCAGGAGAAGTGTTAATCAATTGCTCTACTCTCACTCTATCCACCATTTGTGGAGACAATCCACCTCTTTGGACTACCTTATTTAATGATTTCTCCACTCTACGAAGGAAATCGGACAGTGCTTCGCCTGGGCACTGGCGGAGAAGACGGAAAGCAAAATACAAATCTTCGCCTGATTCCGAGGTTCCGAATGTACTTTCTAAAGCTTCTATGTACTGTAGAGCATCAGCATCAGGACCAGAAAATCTTACCGCTTTTATAATATCAAGAGCAGACCCTTTTAAGCTCTCCACAATTCTTCTTCTCTTCTCTTTCTCAGAGCACTCGCACTCTGCAATCATCATACGAGCTTGGTCCATCCAGTTTTCCATAGTTTCTTCTCCTAGGGGAGTAGGAACAGAACCAGAAAAAATACATAATCTTCTATATGCACTACTGTCAGGGGTTTGTCTGCCCGTTTTGTCTAACAGGTCTCCCACCGCTTGAATTATTGACTCTGGAGAACCAGCACTGTGACTAGAAGGAGAAACCAGGCCATGCAAATCCTGCATGGACTTCCCTTCATTTGCAAGAAACATTGCTAGTTTCTCTGAAAACCCTGCAGGAGAAGTGTCACCCTCCCGCATTACTACCACCCTCCAGGGATTTCCCCCCTCAACAGGCGGCAATACAGGTGGAAAAATCTTAAGGTTAACCTCCTCCCTACACTCACATAATGCATTAAAAATATCGGGGCTAGTTCCTACTTTTGTTGCTCTTACACCTACTCTTCCCCAAGCTTTCACTGTTTGTGCTACATTCTCGATTTGTGCCACATCAACATCAGCTGGAATACCTACCAGCAAAATGGCATGAGTTTCATCCACCACAGCTTCTCTACACCATGAAATAAGTTCTGCTTGTAGATCAGTAGTCCCACTCAGATCCATCGCAACAGTCAGTGTGATATCCAAACCACGTTAAATCAAATCAGCTGAGTAATGAACTGGGTATATTCAAAGAAAGGATTCCCCGTACGGGCCACCACTTTATGTAGCACCCTCTTCCCTCTCAGGGTGGCTTACCTGAGCACTTAGGATGGGCACTTGGGTTCGAAATGGGATAGTCTCTCGACTAAATAAACTTAGGAACCTCTCCTATACCACTGATTCGAAAGTAACGAGGTTAACTATAAAATGCCCTTATATGTCAAATTGAGTCAACACAATAGGGGGTTTCGTTGAAACATTTACTCAGGTTATATAGATATTTTCCCTTAACCCGTAATGACTTTATTGAAATCACTTAAAAGTAACACTATGAGATGGGAAAAAAAGGACCAATGAAAATGTACAAATGTCGCAGCAATTAAATTGGTCTCCCCAAACAACCTATTAGAGGTTCTAGCCAGACTGCCCCTTTGTACTGCACCTCTTAACTGTGTATTCCAAATGCACACTTAGTGCAATTTAAACGTGATCACAAGTTCAATGGAAATACAATAACAAACTGTTCCTTAGATATTGCAATTGCAATGCAACAAATAACTAACTTAACTCACGTGGGCCCACTCACACACATACATACAGCACTCTCACCCCCGTTGCAGGCCTATACTTTTGCTGGTGATCGTTGTGGCCACGAAAATAAACTGATAATTGGCCCCTTCACTCCGAAGAGCCAGACAAAATGTGAACTGAGGTACCTTTAATCCAATGAATTCTTCCGATTTAGGACACTCGAATCACGTGTGCAGGTCGTCCCTGACACGCGTGGCTGGACCTCTCCAATGATCCCTCGTTGCCAGGGGAACCCTGAACCCCTCGGCGGCTCAAAGCGCTACCGGGGCGTCAAGTCCTGCAGCTCCTCTGGATCACCGTTATTCACGTTGATAAACTAAGTCTACAGCACTCACAGTCTGCAACTTCACTACTAAATGACAGATACAAGGTTGTTTTGTAGTTTCAAATAACTCGCACGGGACTCGCTCGAATGTAGAATAAAACTGACCGATGACGCATCACTTCCCCGACCATCGCAGACTATTGTGAAAACAACTAACATTAACCAGCGATCGGCTGGATGAAGTAGTCACTGTTTCCCTCTTGAAGGCTAAACAAATTAAATAAATAAATCCTATTCGGATTAATCTTGATTTTTGTCACTCACACACACGCGATGCCTTGAACACGCACCCCTCTTCTTCTTTCCGCACTCTCCCAATCTTTTCTTTGCCCCTCCTTCAACTTTACAAGAACCAATAATACACAACCTCCACCCATGTATTAGGAGGGTTTATAGAGTTATAGTCCAATGAATACAAGGTAAACTCAAACTTGATTGTAAAAGCCACGTTTTCAACATGTAAATTACAACCGAACATTAGTACAAACCAACATTCTTAAAGGAACAGATAACCATATAATTTTATACTAAAGCAAAATAAAATCAGTACCCAAACATTAAAACAAAGTGGTTTTTAACCACTCCCTTTTCATATTAGGAGGGGAAATATACTGGGGGGTTACAAGTGCATATTTATATATAAAGGTATTTACACTTAAAAGTACCATGGTATTTGGTACCTTGTTACATGTCAAAAACATGTTTTCCCATGGTATTTGTTTGTTAGTGACATTAAAAGCATGAACAGAATGGTTCTTCTTTTAATTTGCTGCCCGAATATCTAAAATCACCAACAAATATGCGTTGTATTTACTTGGACCATTATGGTAAATACTCAAGTGCTGCACTGACAACATATTACGCTCAGTCCAGTTTACTGTATATTAGTATTATTGTGTTGGAACATCATGGAATGTTTGGAATTGGGGACACTAACAATACTTTTGAAGCAGTTAAATCAACACACAAAAAATGACACTATTTTTGTTTTATATCTTCTTTTTTTTCCTAATACAATAAAGGTAACTTAAAAATAACTAAACCCTCATTAAAATGTATTAAAGTTGAATAAAGATCATTAAACTTGGCAATAAACCAGGTGTACAGTGTATACAAATACGTCCCACTGTTTAGTTTTATTCTTATTTTGTTATATTTAAAAAAAAAATTTTTAAATGTTTTCTTATTTTGCAAACTAAGTGAACCTTACTCTTTCTCATGTTTCTATGATTTGCTGTTGGTTAATGTCATCAGACCAAACAAATGCTGCTTAACAAACAAAACCTGAAACCCAAAATGAATCACATTATTTTGTTTTAGTTCTGTTCTCTTGTGTTTTTAAAAGTAGAAGGTACGAGGTCACTGACTGTTTATTGATTGTTTATTTGTTATCTCCTCACCAAGCAAGAGAATAACGTTTTTTGAATGTCTTTTTTTTAGGTTGCAGCTTTTAAAAAATATGGCTCTTTCTTCCTCTGTCAAACTGTGTGATGAAAACTCAGAGACAAAAGAAAAAACAACTATTTTGTATAAAGTATGTTTTTTCTCTCTCTCTCTATGTGATTAAAGGCAAATGTACTGAGACTGCCTCTGGGACTGAGTTCTTTAAACAATGTGAATGAGTTAACTTGTTTGACCTGTTTTATTCACATAAGAAAGATGCCAGTACTAGACCAGTATAAGTGTTCACAAGCTTTAAAGCACAGTTATCTCAAACATGAACATTTATCTTTACTCATACTTCTGTCAATCCAAACCTATGACTTTCTCCCATCTTTGGAACACAAAAGAAGAATGTCTAGGCTGCTTCTTTCAATGAACTGAATGTGAATTATGACTGAAGGGGACAAAAACACCAGAAAACCACCATAATGTAGTTCATATGACTTGTGCAGTATTTTTCAAGATCATTTTCAAGATAAGATCATTTCTCAAATGTGCATGTGTGTGATTCAGAGAATCGAAGATGTGCACAAAAATGCCTAAGTGATGTGATAAATCTATAAATCGGAAATTATCTTGAAATTGTGTGCAGCTTAATGGTTTCAGATCTCTGCCTTGTAAAATGGTTTCAGATCTCCCAAATTAATGTTATTGGCATATAAAACATCACCAGCCAACGTCCATCGGGGGTGGCACTCCTGCATTAGGTCAAATCTTTGCATATGCACGTTTTATAAATGAAGTCTCAGATACCTTGATGAGCCTGGTATTTACTCATATGCAGTATGTGAATCGCTGCAAAGCTCTCAGAAACACATTCAATCATATTGATTCTATTGCTGTCACATACAGCAATAGAAATCAATAGTTGTATATATCAATTATATATCAAACTTTAGAAAAAGAGGTGTAGCACTCACTCTTCAGATATAAAACGTCTCCGGTTACTCATTGTAACGTAGTTCGTAGATCAGGAAGAAGGAGGCGGGAACCGGCGAACATTCAAACCATTTAATAATAAAACAAACACAAAACGAAAGTAAAGAGGCAGCCCGTCGCGGACGACTGCCGCACACAAAACACAAAATAACAGGCGGCCGGCAGCGAGTTCGTCCGCCCCCCCCGGGAACTCACTCCAGCCCACTGCCTCGAGCGTCCATGTAGTGCTCGATGGCACCGCGGACTCACCACAGCGGCGAGGGATCTCTGGCAGCGTGTCCCTGGCCAGCAGGGGGTGCTCACCCTGCAGTCTGTGTGGGTCCTTATGCCCCAGTGTAGTGACGGGGACACTATACTGTCAAAAAGCACCGTCTTTCGGATGAGACGTAAAACCGAGGTCCTGACTCTCTGTGGTCATTAAAAATCCCATGGCACTCATCGTAAAGAGTAGGGGTGAAACCCCGGTGTACTGGCCAAATTCCCTCCACTGGCCCTTGTCAATCATGGCCTCCTAATAATCCCCATCCACTTGATTGGCTCTATGACTCTCTCTCCTCTCCACCTGAAGGAGTGGTTTAAAAAAAATCAGAAAATGTTGCAATTGACCTTTCACCTATTGTTACGTCCTCCCCTTTTGGTCTAGGGGTAAATGGGAACGACGAACAATAAAGAGTGGAGAGACTTTGAGGATCTCCAGCTCTCCAGGCCCAGAAATCACAACCAACCACAGATTTGAGTTTGAAACGGCTTGGGTACCTTTTAATTTTAACTCAATCAAGGGATTCAAAAAAAGGATAACATTAATACAAAAATAACAGTAAATACAAACAAAGAAACGTTACCTCGGGAGGAGGGCCCGAACAAAAGAAAATCCAAAAAAACAATGCCTCTACCTAATAAGGGGAAGATATTAAATTACCCATACATTAAAGAAAATAAACAAAACAACATATAGCTTCCCTCACTCCCTAACTAACCATTAAACAGGAGAAAACTTATGGGTATCCTCCACCCTACCTTACCCACAAGCTTAACTGATTATTAAGCAAATCATTAACTCAGGAACCATTGTGACAACCCAACAAAGAACACAACATTCGCGATAAGCGCTCATGGGCTTGGAGAGCGGAACAACCTCAAACGCCGCGATGTCTCTCTCCTTCCTCCACGCTCTCTCTGCTATTTTGAACTAGAAGCCAGCAAACACGCGCCAATCAGGTTGTGGACAGCGCATTCAGGTGGATGAGCGCAGCTGATCATCATTAGCCTATCAAGCACAGACACACAGGTAGAGAGAGAAAGGGAGAAAAAATACAAACACCAACAACACTCTTTGTATCAATAATAGAGACAAAAATTAATACGTCATTAGACGTAACACCCCCACCAATAAACTTTTCCTATATTCCCCTTTTTGAACCTTTATCGTTCCTCGCCCACTACCCTAGATAGTGCATCCGCAACCATGTTATCAGTGCCTTTCTGATGCCTAATATCCAGATTGTACTCTTGTACAATTAAAGCCCATCACATCAATCGTTGGTTGGCATTACGCATATGGGATAGAAATGTTATAAATGGGATAGAGGGTTGTGGTCGGTAAATACAATAATGGGCACACTACTACCTCCCACAAAAAACTTCAAAGTGCTGGAGCGCTAGCACAAAAGCCAGAGCTTCTTTCTCAATTGTGCTGTAATTACTTTGCCACTTTGTGAACTTTTTGGAGAAATATTACACGGTATGATCAATACCCATATTGTCCTCTTGTAGCAATACGGCTCCTGCTCCAACTGAACTCGCATCCACATGCAATTTGAAAGGGCGGTGAAAGTCTGGAGCTTTAAGAATGGGGGCATGACACAGAAGATCCTTAGCGGACAAAAAAAGCACGCTCACACTCAGTAGACTATACAAATTTCCTTTTGTCACTGAGTAAATCAGTAAGTGAGGTTACAACACTAGAGAAGTTTTGACAGAAATTTCTGTAATACCCACACATTCCAAGAAAATGTCTCAACTCCCGTTTGTTAGAAGGAGCCAAATAATCCATTATCACGGAAACCTTCGCTTCTATAGGTCTTACACTTCCATGACCCACTTTCTTTCCCAAATAGGTCACCTCTGCTTTCACAAATTCACATTTTGCGAGATTTACAGTCAATGAAGCCTCTGACAATCGGGTAAATAATAATTCAAGGTTGGTCAAATGCTCAGTCCAACTGTCTGAATACAGTACCACATCATCTATATATGCATCACACTTCGGTACGTCAGATAAAACCTTCTGCATAAGTCTTTGAAACGTTGCGGGTGCATTTCGCATCCCAAACGCAAGTACAGTATACTGAAGAAAGTTATCAGGTGTGACAAAGGCAGAAATTTCTGAAGCTTGTGGCATGAGAGGTACCTGCCAGTACCCTTTTAACAGATCAATCTTTGTCACATATTTTGCTGCACCAATCCGATCAATGCAATCCTCTATACAAGGCAGAGGGAAGGAGTCAGGTTTGGAAAGACCATTAACTTTCCGATAGTCCGTACAGAAACGATATGTGGAGTCTGATTTGGGGACTAACAAACAGGGAGAGCTCCAGGGACTCTGACTTGGTACAGCTAATCCATGTTTTAACAGATATTCTATCTCGGCCTTCATAATCTCACGCTTTTTCGGATTCACCCTATAAGGATGCTGCTTCACAGGGGATACACTTCCCACCTCAATATCATGACATAATACAGACGTTCTGCTAGGTACATCAGAAAACAGAGAGGGAAAAGACTGGATCAAATTACACACATCCTCATACTGTTTTTCAGATAAATGCATAAGATGCTTGCGTAAATCACCCAAAACGCTAGAATTGTTCAGATGAGGGGTAGAAGTTTGAACCTCACCATCGTCTTTTACAGCGCAAGAGGTAGTTATAGTAACTGCGGAAGAGACCAATGCAGACGGAGCAATTTTTGACTCTCTCTCCACGCAAGTCTTCAGCATGTTCACATGGCAAACTCTAGTTTTACGTCAACGATCAGGGGTTTGAATAACATAATCAGTCTCACTAAGCTTTTGCTCGATGACATATGGCCCTGAAAACCTTGCTTGTAAGGAAGCACCAGGCACAGGCAAAAGCACAAGAACAAAGTCACCAACTTGCAAATTCCTTTTGACACTCTTTTTATCAAACTGTTGCTTCATTTTCTCCTGAACAACAGATAGATGAGCCTTAGCTACCTCACACGCTTTATGAAGTCTCTCTCTGAAAGAACTCACATAATCCAAGAGAGCCACAGAAGACGAATTTTTCATCAACAAATGTTCATACAGCAGTTTCAATGGACCTCTTACGGTGTGCCCGAACACCAATTCCGCGGGACTAAATCCCAAGGACTCCTGAACTGCTTCTCTGGCCGCGAAAAACAATAAAGGCAGCCCCTCCACCCAGTCCTTTCCTGTCTGCAAGCAATATGCACGAATCATAGTTTTAAGGGTTTGATGGAACCTTTCCAATGCGCCCTGTGATTCAGGATGATAAGGACTAAACTCAATCCTCAATTCCTAATTCCTTCAAAACTTGCGCAAAAGTAAAATTAGTTCCTTGATCGCTCTGTATTACTCGCGGTAGACCAAACGTGGTAAAAAAAACGTAACCAAATCCCTTACCACTACCTGTGCTTTCAACGAACGCAAAGGAATGGCTTCTGGGAACCTAGTGACTGCACACATAATTGTTAACGCATACTGGTGCCCCGATTTAGACTTAGGCAGTGGACCCACGCAATCAACAATGAGTCGCTCAAACGGCTCTTCTATTACCAGTATGGGATACAAAGGGGCAGCTGGCACCTTCTGATTAGGCTTTCCTATGCGCTGACACACATCGCAAGAGCGACAAAAATTAGCAACAGATAAACGAAAACCGGGCCAAAAGTAGGATTTAGAAATGCGGCGAAAAGTTTTTGTCACTCCTAAATGACCCGACATAAGATTCTCATGTGCCAATTTTAACACTGGGGCATGGTAGCTAGCAGGCAAGAAAATTTGAAACGTCTCATGCAAACCTTGTTCATCATAACGCGGTTTCCATTTTCGCATTAACACGTCATTCTCTCAAAAATAACCTACTTCAGCGTCTGCTCGATCTTTCACGGTGACCGCTGCCTCAACACATTCTGCTAAGGAAACATCTGATTTTTGCTCAGCCACTAACTTCTCCTTACCAACACTGAAAGGAGCTTCTAGAATTAATGCCGTCTTTGTCACTTTACATGTCTCATGCGACTTAGACTCTTCAACCTTAGATTCGGCATTTAAAAATGACTCTTTCGATTAACAACTTCTTGAAACTTTTGACTTTGAGCCCGTGTCACAGCACATGCTGGGAAAACGGAAGGGAAATGAACCCCTAGATCAGACTGTTCCTCAATCACAGGTTTGTGCATCACTACTGGACTAGAAAAAACTTTGCCACCTGCAAGGTCATTTCCTAGAATAATATCTACTCCAGCAACAGGCAACTGTTTGCGAACACCTAACTTAACAGTACCAGAGATAAGGTCCGATTTTAATTTCACTTCGTGTAAAGGCAGCTGTACACAGCCCATTTCTATACCTCGTACTAACACATCAGTACCGGTATACGATTTTTCAGAGAAAGGCAAGGCACTTTCAAGTATGAATGACTGACAGAAACCCGTATCTCTTAAAATCGAGATAGGCATCAACTCAGACTCAGAGACTGACACCTGCCCATTTAGAATGAAAGGGTCATAACCAAAGCATTCAGCCTCTTGCGACGCTGGAAGTGTCTGTGTAAGCGCAACACTTTTGGTTTTCATTGATACATTCTTTCTATTCCATTCTTTACAATCCGAAATTAAATGTCCAGGGTCTAGACAATAAAAACAAACACGCCTGCCTCCCTGACGCATAGAATTTCAAACATTAATTTTAGGGCGAGCGCCGTTGTTCCCCGAACGAGAAAAGTTTTGAGAAGGAGACTCCTCCCCCACAAACTTTTCAGCGGAAGAGCCAGTAATAGGCAACTCCTGTGAAAAAACTTTGCGGTGCGTAAACACAAATGCATCGGCTAATACCGATGAAATACCGATGAGATCGGCTAATACTCACTTCTGCAAGCATGGTTACCTTCTTTTACCTTCTAACTTTTTCAGGAACGCTCTTTTTCAAATCTTCTAGCAAAACTAATTCACAAAGTTGCTCAAAAGTGTCAGTTTTACTAGACAAACACCACTTCTCAAACAACATACGTTTGTTTGGATGTCTTGGCATGAGAACGAAACCTCTGCCGATACGCCTCGGGAACTAATTCGTATGCGCAAAGTACTGTTGATTTTACCACATCATAATCAAGCGAGTCCTCCAAGCTTAAAGCTGAACTAACTTCTTGCACCTTTCCCACGAGACTACATTGAAGTAACAATGCCCACATATCTTTAGGCCAATTAAGCTTACCAGCTATTCGCTCAAAGGCTACAAAATAAGCGTCCACTTCAGCTTCACGGAAAGGAGGCACAAGTTTAACATACTTACTGATGTCAAACACAGAAACAGAAGGTGCAACAGAGTTAACTGGAGTAACTGGGGACGCTGTAATAGAGGGTGGTTGAGAACGAGGTACGGGCACCGGCTTTTTCATTAAAGCATGAGCCTCTAGATCCAATCTACGCAATTGAATATCCCGATCCTTCTCCGCTTCTATAACGTGCAGCCTAATCATCTGAGCCTCACATTCTTGCCTTTTATTTCCAAATCCAATTCTCGAAGCCTAATCTCTAACATAGGATTATGAGGTTGCACCACCTCAGGTTCTAAAAAAACTGCAGATGCAGATAGATCCGCTACAACATCCTGAGGTTTCGCACCATCATTATCATCTGAACCCTCTGCCAAAATACCTGCATCCACTAACTTCTCGTATAATTCTTCTTTTATAACCGGTTTAGTAGCTTCCCTCACAACCCTAATATTAAAGAAATCCGCAATCGATAACAAATCTTTTTTCCTGCAGCGCTCAAAAACCTCCGTCGTAGGAGAAAGAGTGAAGGCTGTCAAATCAAATTCCATTTCCCCTCACTAGGAGCTAGGAGCAACTCAGGAACCAATGTGACAACCCAACAAAGAACACAGCATGCGCGATAAGCGCTCATGTGCTTGGAGAGCAGAACAATCTCAAACGCCGCTATGGCTCTCTCCTTCCTCTACGCTCTTTCTGCTATTTTGAACTAGAAGCCAGCAAACACGCACCAATCAGGTTGTGGACAGCACATTCAGGTGGATGAGCGCAGCTGATCATCATTAGCCTATCAAGCACAGACACACAGGTAGAGAGAGAAAGGGAGAGAAAGAGAGCAAAAATACAAACACCAACAACACTCTTTGTATCAATAATAGAGACAAAAATTAATACGTCATTAGACATAACACTGCCCTTCTTAGTTAATTTTGCTATGTTCAACAAGCCATGGCACTCTCATGCCACACATCTTGTTTTTGATTTTGAATCAAATCGTAAGCTGCTATGTGAACAGGACAATTCCAGACTCACACCTGTAAGTAAATGCGGTTGTCAGTCTCAAATACTGCATAGGGGCATGTTGTGTTCAGAACAACTGGAAAGTCTGTTAGTGTGTAATAGCTTCTTATAGCTAACAGACTTTCCAGTTGTTCTGAACACAACATGTCCCTATGCAGTATTTGAGACTGACAACCGCATTTACTTACAGGTGTGAGTCTGGAATTGTCCTGTTCACATAGCAGCTTACGATAGAGGCACGGATATTGTCTGTATGAATGTGGAAATTAAGTCATTTACATTTAGCAATTTCAGAATGAAATGACTAAATGTAGTCATTTCATTTAACATAAATGTAGTCATTTCATTTAACCAAGTCAAGCCCCTATTCTATTTGTGACTATTACTTGTAACCATAGTGACAGAGACTAGAATAAGTATCAAGTGACATCCAATTTTGCAAAGTCTTATCACATTTGACAAGTTCGGTTTTAGTTACCTGATGCTGTAAACACAGGCATCATGATTGTGTGTTTGTGATTGGGTCTGCGGGAGATTGGGCGGGACTTTGATACTGCGGCTCCAGTTCATGACCAATACTTCACAGACTTGGGCTCCAAATGGCATTATTGACACAAGACGACAGCACCACAGCAGCCATACCTGGGACATTTTGGCCTCACTTTTCTAGAGTGGAAGTAAGTGGAGGTGTTGTATATCTTTTTTTTTTCCTGAGTCTAACAAAATTTCAATTGAGGTGCGATTTCATCTGTCAAATCTTGATTAAAAGGGTCATGAAATGCATTTTTTAAATTATTTTCCTAATGTGTGCTCATATCTTAGTGTATATTTTTGCATCAAAAACAGTCATAATTTAGATATAAATGGTTACTTTCTATCCTGAATGTAGCCCTCTGTTTTGAACGATCTGTTGGAAGGGGCGTGTCTGCTGTGAGACTTCAATGTAAAGGCCACTGCTATAAAATTAAGATCCAAACGTAGGTTCGGGAGGAGCTAAATCATTCAGTCGTATCAATCATCATTACATGCCTATGTAAGCAGTAGTCATTCCGCCATCTCAGCGACAATTCTTCCAGCATCCCTCCACCTCCCCATCTCCTCCTCCATTTCTGTTTTTCTTCTATGTAGTACTGCAATGAAAGGGATGAACTCGGAGCTCAAGCCGAGCCTCGGGTTTGAGCCTCCATCGAGGACAGCAAGCCAAGGTTGTACCTTTAACCATCAGGACTGGATTAGCAGGTGAACCTGTGAAATGAGAACTACATGTGGAACACTCTGGAACATTTACTGCCTTTTTACTAATAGTGAACAGTGTTGATTATAGCATTATATTTAGAACTTCTGTTGCATCAAATGTTGCAAAACAATGTAAATAAGAGACTCGTTGAGCATTGATTATAATAGGAGTTTTGACAAAAATGTAGAAAACAAATCACTGATAGGCCCGCTGATCGTGCATTGGCATTGTTGCACACTGGTGGTGGTTGAGGAGAGACCCCCCCACCACCTGATTGTAAAGCGCTTTGGGTGTACAGCAATACACAATAAAGCGCTATAAAAATGCATCATTCATTCATTCATTCATTCATTCATTCAGTTGAAGGAGTGAATGAAAATGAGTGAGCGATTTCAGAAACAGTGCACCAGAAGAGCTGCTGCTTTTGCATAGTTTGTGCTTGCTGTTTAATAATCATGTGAAACTTAGCAAACAGGCAACTCCAGTAGTAATGAAAAGTGAATAAAAAGACTCTTGAACTCTGTCATGGAAAATAGCATGTATAAACCTTAATTAAACTATTTAATAATCAATTCAAAATAAATGTATACCTGTATGATATTACAGCAGTACCATTTTTGTGATTGGTGGACAAAAATGAGTTATGAACTCACCTGCTTGATTACATACGAAGACATGATGGGGTGTCTAGAGGAGAATCATGGCGTCAAATCTGGGTGTTGCAGAAGAGTAAAAAAAAAAAAGTCATATTTTAACTGGGGAGATAGTTTTGAGTTTTGAAACTTTCAGTATCTTTTTGTTGTAAAGTAATCTCTTAGAAAGTCTAAATATCAAGAACAATTTAAATCTCTATTAAATGAGAAAAAAATGCACAGTGTCTAATACAAATGTCATGTGAAATAACACAGTAACAGTGCATCAAATGACATGGTTTGTTCAGGTATCACCACATTATTCAACAGTCTCTGGAAATCCCCAGTGTCCTTTAAAGGGGTCATATGATGCGATTTCAATTTTTCCTTTCTCTTTGGAGTGTTACAAGCTCTTGGTGCATAAAGATCTGTAAAGTTGCAAAGACTAAAGTCTCAAATCCAAAGAGATATTCTTTATAAAAGTTAAGAGTTAA